GGGCCCAGCTGTTGCTCATGAAACCACACGCAGCCACCCTCGGACCACCATGGAAAAAGCAGGCCTTTCCATCAGAACTCAAGAAACTTTCATTTTTGAACTGTAGCTCCCAAAATCTGTTAGGCAGCAAGGCCTGAAGGACTCAGGAGGGAGACCAGCTCAGTGGACAACAGCAATCACCACTAATGTAGAAAATGTTATTGTGGTTTTCTGTGAGTCACGCGAAGAACCTCAGCGGCCTGTTGCTCAAGGCCACAAGTTCTCTGTTCCAGCCTCTCTGGCTCAGGACCTCTGCCACACCTAGTGGCCCCGCTGTGTCCCTGCGTCTCATTCTGCCAAACCTACAGCCTGGTCCTGCTGGATCAGAGAATCAGGGAATGGCCGAGCCAGAAGGAACCCCTAAGGGCCCTCGAGGCCAAGGGGCTGCCGAAGCAGGAGGTCAAGGATGCCCCTGACTCAGGCGGGCACCACTCGTGGCAGGCAGGGAGGGGGCAGCTGAGGGGAGGGGCTCACATTGGCTGTGAAGGCCAATGTGGTCGAGCAGAACATAGGCCACCCACAGACCAGCATCTTGACCTGGTAATCCAGCATGAGCAGAAGAGTGCAGCGTACACTGACGTCCCCCGGTCTCTTCACCTGGAAGCCATCAGTCTCTTGGGTGGTAGGGGTCCGGTGCCACTGTTAAAGAGGAGCAGAGAGACCGGCTCAGGGCTGGCAGGGATGCCCACGGGCACAAGGACACGGACAGAAATCACGGTCTTCGTGAGACAATCTTTCTGGCTCCCAAAGAAGGACCCCCACCTCCACCCTGGGACAAAGCTTGAACACTGAGGTCTGGCTCCTTAATTCTTTCCAATGTGGAACCCAGGCAGTTTTGGTTCTTGCCCCCCTCCTGCCAGCACATCAAAGGCTCCACTGCAACAGCCCCACTGATTCTGCCAGGCTCCAAGATGGGTGCTGCCCGCCATGCCTGCCAGGAGCTAGCCCACCCAACCTTCCAGTCTTCTTCACCTCTCCATCTGCTGCCGAAGCTCTTAACACTTTCTAAGGAGACAGACCGAAAAGGTCTCCAAGCAAGGGGTTGAGGCCACTGGGCACTGCTACATTGAGAGAGAGGGTTGGGCGGACGGACGGGAAGTGCCAAAGCCTATGACCGGGCATAGTCCAGGGCTGAGAGAGGCAAGGAACTTGAGCGGCACAATCCTATGGCCTAGTTCTAGCTCCATCTAGGCAGAAGCTGGTCTTCCTCCAGACGTTCCCAGAAACCTCCTCCTCCTCCTCCTCTCGGCCTTGGCATGCAGGTCCAGCAATGCAGGCTCCAACCCATCATCCAGATTGGCTTTATGGAAGGCTCTTGGGAAGAAAAGCAAAATTGGTGGGGTGGGGTGGGGTGGGGTGGGGTAGAGAAGAGTCAGCTGGGAAGGTGGGCGAGACGGGAGGGTCCCAGAGGAAGAGGACCCACTTCTACAGCAGAAAGGAAGGAAAGTCAGGAAAGTGGGTGTCCTCATGGATCTATGCAGGGGCTGCTCTATAAATAACTGGCTTTAGGGTGAGCAGTGAGGTGGTCAGACCAGGGGAGGTCACCAAATCAAGAGTTCTCCCCTTTGAGAGAACGGCTGGAAAAGGACGGCCAAAACCATGGAAAGGCTTCCACATTAGGGGCTGAAAACGGGACGAGGAAGAACCACTGGGGCCTAATCCGCCAGTGTTCAAGCACCCTGCAAATGGCAATTAATTAACTAATTAATTAATAAACCAACAACAACAACAACAACAACAACAACAACAACAACAACAACAACAACAACAACAACAACAACAACAACAAGAAGAAGAAGAAGAAGAAAGGTAATCCTCTCCCCACCCCTGCCGCTACAGTCTCCCTGCCCTGGCTGGCATCCCAGGCAAACCCACCACAACCAAACCAGAGACAGGGATGTAGCACTAAGAGGAGGGGGAGCTGTGGGAGGAGGGCATCCTGGGGTGCTCAACGGGTGTATGTCTGGTGGGGAGGGGGGCAGGTGTGCCTTCTGCTGAGTACAGGACTGACCTCTACCAGGTGATTGTCTGGTCCGTAGAGATCCTTGTCCAGCTCGATGACTAAACTCTTGAAGAAAGAAGAAAACTTCCGCTTCTGCTTGCTAAGCTGTGGAGTCCGAGAGAGAGAAGCATCACCGCCACCTGAAATCTCTGGCAAGACACAAGGAGGCTCCTGGACGCCCGTCCTTCCCTCTTCTGGTTGCGCCGGAGCCAGGAACCATCTAAAGCCCTCCAAAGAGTGAAGAAGGACAGGATCCAGGCCTCCCTGATACCCACCCCCACCACAGGACTGCACTGATGCCTTCTCTGCATCAAGAGCCTTCACTCGAGGGAAGCACACCCTGGGAGGAATTGTGTGCCGGGTGCAGGTGTATTTGGGCATTTCTGATTCTCTGTGAAAACCCCACTCCTACAAATGAGGAAATGCAAAGAGCCAGGCTGGGTCATGGCCTTAACAATGCCAGCAAGACAGAAGGGTACCTGCTGCAGAAACATACCTTCAATGCCTTTCCCACATCCAGGGAACAGGAAGGACACAGAGAGAAAGTGGAGAACAGGAGGCTCCCTGGATTGCCCTTTTAAGAAGAAACTGAACACTGCTGTGTTTGTTGCCCTTTTAAAGTCCTCCACTCACTGCCTTCATGGTGGCTGCCTTAGGAACCCAAGTGGGAGTTTCCACTGGCAGCTGTAAAAGAAGGGGTGTGGGTGGCCAAAAAAAAAACCAAAAAAAGCTGAGCTCCCAGCTGCCTCCTTCAACTGGCGACCTGGCCTTGCAGTTTGCACACCCTAGTAAAGAGCATCCTGTCCTTCCATCTTCCTGAATGTTCTTGATCTTTCCCCCTTCTAAGGGTGACCCACGAATGCTGAGTTTAACAGAAGACATTGGTGGGGGTGCCTCTGTGTTGCTCTGCCTCCAAATCTCCCTGAAAAGGAACAACCCCCCCCCAACCCAGTTCATATTGACACATTTGTCTAGAGGCAACACACAGGCCTAACGCCACCACACTCATCCCTAGGCCTACATCATCGAGCAGTTTGCCCTCCACACGCAGCTCCCAGGAAGCGATGCTGCCGTCGGAGTCGTCGGCGTCAGACTTGGCTGGGTTGAAGGTATTGGAGATGTAAAGGCGCAGCTTCCGCTTTTGCTATTAGACAAACAAGAGAAGATCAGGGTCAGGGGGAGGAGAGGGAGGAGAGGCCAGCAGACGACGATTCTGGACAGTGATGGGATTGCAGTGAAAACGCTGGATTAAAAAAAAAAAAGAAAAAGAGGGGGGAACCTCCTCACACGGTCCAGAGGGAAACTATGGCACACACACACAAACATGGGAGGTGAGGATGACAGACCATCTAGACAGGGTTCTCCATGGCGACGTGCCGCAAGGGGGATTGAGTCCTTCCAGCCTCGGTAGCTGCACAGCACTGGTGCCAAGGGCCAGGGAGAATAGGCTGGGGGTGCTGGGGCCTGGGGTGGCCTTTAGGAGAAGAGCATGCTCGGCTACCGAGGCCTGCTCGTCTCTTAGCCAGTCTCAGGACTCTTCCCATGTTTTGGGGGGCAGATGTGTATGTGTGTATGGCATGTGTGTATGGCATGTAGTCAATTGGCATGAAGTGCTCAACGGGGCCCCTCCTTGTAAGAGGCACTATGATAACCAGAGAACTCAGCTACCTGCTCCGCACACCTTTCTGTGGGTTAAGTGGGATTGGGGAAATGACTTTCTCCTGGTGGAGGAAGCCCACCTCCACCTTCGGCTGCTTTGGGATGGGGAGGCGGCAGGGACTGAACATCTCCAGAAGTTTTACAGAAAAGAGGAGCGTGAACGGACATGAGCAATAAACTCACATCCTGTGGCTGAGAAATCCTTCTTGGGAGACCAAGACGCTCGCAGGCAGAGCCTCTCAGAGGCAGGGAGGTGGAACGGGCATCCATTGGGACGCTGCTGACCCATCAGCTCCCACGGTGCTGCTTGAGACCCTCTTGCACACGACCGATGGGAGGCGACGTCCCATCCCACCTGGAGGGCTGCAGGTTCCTGCCCATCCTTTAGATGGCATCACACTCTTTCACCCACCCAGGCCTGTTTGGGGGTGGGGTGGGGACAGCCTATTCTCCATTCCCTGCTCCCCCCCCCCAAATTCTCCCAATCTCACTTGCTCTGCCCCTACCACACTTTTCCAGCATCTCCCTTAGTTTTCTGCCCTACGGCAGTCTGCCTGCTCTGCTGGCTAGTGTCAACCGAAGGCAGGTCATGAGAAGGAGTCCTGGCTCAGAGTTCAAGCTTATAGAATGAAGAAAACGAATTCTTCACATGGCCGGAGGAATCTCCAGCTTCATTCGAGCTGGAATGTTGTCTTGAATGAAGATTTGTCAGATTTATGACAGTCTCCCGACATGTCACCACAGATTTCTGTTTCTATTTATTTTCACAGGAGGATTCCACCACGGACCCTTGAAAGAACCACATGGTGGTTAACAAACTATATATATATAGAATAATCAAGGCTTAAATATTAGGATGTAGTCAGCACAGACACAAATGAAGGTACAATAGACCAGAAACCTAAAAGAGGCCCCCAAACCCTGAAGTTTAAGAGGCCATCAGTCCTAACCTCCTTCCCGGACGGGGCAAGCTCAGCGCCTCTCGTTTTGCTAGGAATGACAGGGAGACACACAGCAGTGAGATACAGAGGCGGCTGCTCAGGCAGAAGGTTTTCCAAGGCACAAAGGCAGAGAAGGAGCAGCAGGAAAGAGCCCCCAGTATGGCTGTGGGGACAGTGGGACCCCTCGAGCACTTCGGGAGACACGTGTTTCTGACAGGACACAGTCCCCCGTCCCCAGGCATGTTTCAGGAGCAAAGGAAGGTGAGGAAAAGTGTCTCTGCCAAAGTGAGGGCAGGGGAGAAAGCGGCCTGGCAAGGGGCGGTCAGAAGCCAGTACCTTCATGGGCCTCTTCAGGGCCTCTTGGATGTCCACTCGCTTGCGCATGATGGTCTGATCCAGCTTACGCTCAAAGGCCAGAAGGTCCATGTAAGCCTGCGACTCTGGGACAAGCTCCCGGATCTGGAGAGTAAGCAGAGCATTGGCGGAGGAAGACCCACCCATGGCCCAAGGTGGACTCAAGGTCCCTGGGGGCACCAGGAAGGGTGGGAGGAGAACCCACACGGCCTGATCTAGGCCTGCCTGAGAGAAAGCCCCACCAAGAACCAGCAGAGTTCATGGTCTGTGCAAGGGGTTGCTGCCCTCCCCAAGAGCAGTGGCGGTGTGTGTGTGTGTGGGGGGGCTGATTTGGACCACACGCTGCCTATGGCATACTGTACGCCGAGGGGCCAGGCCCACGACGAGACTGCCGGGCTCTGCTTGGGGCTGGGGAAGAAGCCCTTTGCCTTCTTAATAAGGCCATAAGACCTGTCCAGTGGGTTCAGACCAGAGGACACCCCTCTCTCTGTCTCACGCGTATGCACATGCACACATGCATGCACGCACGCACGCACGCACGCACGCACGCACGCACACACACACACACACACACACACACACAGAGACATATATTCTGGGCATGCAGGGAGCAACTTCCAGTAAGATCAGAGCGCTTGCACATGTCAAGCCATGCGAGGCATTCTCTGGATGGAGCTCCGTGGGATCCCCTGATCTGGCAAGGAAAGAAGCAAAGAAAGGAAATGCCACTCACCCTCTGGGGAAGGATTTTGTCAGCCATTTTCCTCCTCTTGGCACTGTACATTTTGGAAAGAAAGGAAAACCCTTTTGCCAAGGTGACTGGTCTAGGAGCAAAGAGGCCATCTGCTAAATTATCCTGGACAGATCTTTGCTGGACAGATCTTGGAGAAAATAGTGCCCAGGGTCTCCCTACCCAGCCCCGGGTGGCCGGCTCTGCTCAGTGGACAGCCTGTCCATTCCACGGTGACCTGCGAGAAGGGAAGGCTATCGCAGGAAGAAGCTGGGTCATGAGGGAGAGAGCAGACCCACGCAATCAAATGCCCAGTGGCCAACCCCATGGAAACGTAGGCAAATCCACTGAGTCCATGGCCGGGCGAGCCAACAGAACATTGGGTTAGTGTCTTTAACACCCCCTCCAACAGAGAGTGCAACCGAGGACTCTGGAAACACAAGACAAGGAGCCGGGAAGCCAGAGGTTGGCGGTGGGGGGTGGAATCGCTCTGCCAGGAGCCCCGGGGCAGAGGCAGGAAGGGCCAAAGGAGGCTTCCCCATGTGCCACCACTCTCTCACCTGCGTGGCCGGTTCTGAGTCACAGCCGCTGCCTGCCGCTGCTCCGCCTGCTGCTGCTGCGCCTGCTGCACCTGCTGCTGCGCCTGCTGCTGCTGGGCCTGCTGCTGCTGCTGCTGCGCCTGCTGCTGGGCCTGCTGCGGCGCTGCCCTTTTGCGTGTGGGCTCCATCACAGCCTGGGGCATCCCAGGGCGCACAGAGGGGCTTCCAACATAGGGAGGGCCCGGGGGACCCATGGGCGCCCCCTGGTGGGGCATGCGAGCTCCTGATGGCATCCCAGGCCGCTGGAGAGGGAGGGAAAGAGAGGAAAGAAAGCCTGGGTGAGAAAAGGATAGGGCTTGCCTGCCTAAGGCATCATGAGCATCCCTTTGAAATGCTCCCCCTCCCCTCCCCACCCCATGCAGAAAAGCAGCCCCAGAAAGCCCAGCCACCTGATCAGCTGAAGTCTTGGCCTGGGGGGGGCTAAGGTCAGGCACAGGCGGACAGTAGCCAGGCAGGGCAGCAAGACCTGTATTCCTGAGTCAGCATGAAAGGTATGTGTGTGTGTGGGGGGGGGAGAGACTCTGTCAGTGACCCTCTCTGTCTCCTATCAGACAGGTAAGTGGCTGGTCTATTGCTCTTCCTTCAGCTGCCACTGTCTACAAAATAAAGAGGAGCCTGCCAAGAGGATGCAGCTACAGCAGCCCAGTCCTGTCAGGAGGGCAGTCTCCAACCCAGACGTGACTCAGGAAAGCCAGCCGGGAGGGGGCTCTGTCCGTCACCAGCAGGACAGAGGAAGGCATGCCGGGCAGGCAGGTTGGCTGAACCTGGGGCATGCAACCCGCCCAGCAGCAGTGAGGTGGCAGGAGCTCTTCCCAGCCCTGCCTTTTTTTGGCAGGAGATGCTGATGTGGCTGCTGGGGAGTGTTTTCTGGTGCAAAGCATATGTGGTGCCCCCAGATGGTCTCCTCTTCTTGCTTACCGACCATTGTGACTGTCTATGGACATGATTTCTGCTCCACCCTACGAAACTCCAGGCAACAGTGGTGCAAGTCCAGAGCCAGGGATCAAAATGGCAGAAACTCTGCACCTGCTAACAGATGCATGGCTGCTACAGAGGACAGTGGGTGGGTGGGGCAGGGTGAGGGGGTAGCTAGATCTCTATGCAGAAGGGGCAGATTCAGAGATGCCTTCCCTTTCCTCACTCTCCTAGTTCTGCCCCAGATAGTTGTGCTCCCCAACTGCAAGATTCAGTCTGTAGCCCCAACCCAAAAGTTTGGCAAACAGCAAATGTACTTCAGATGGATTCAGATCTCACTATAAAAGGAAATTTCAAAAAGAACAACACTTTTAAAAAACAGAAAAAATGAATGCAATTTGCAGGCCTAGTAGCTCCTAGGAAGAGAATTACACCTGTAAAGATCAGACATATCGGTGCATGGTTTTTGTGCTAGACTCCACGATGTCTTGCTCAGTTTTTAAAGGGGACTGCCAATGATCTTCATACTTTTAACAGAGCTGATTGAAATTTGGAAGACGTCTTCTTCTTCTGAAGTTATCAATGATTCCAAATTTCAGAATATTGTTTACAATTTGGGTTTTTTTTTCCTTTTAAAAATGAGGACCTATTCCTCATGTGTATCTGAGAGGAATTGTTATGAAAATGGCACACAGAACAGAAGTGGCCTTAAGAGACCTGCCAACTTTCAGAACTTTGGGATAAAGTTTTAGGTAGAGTGGTTAGCATGAGGGTAGGCTTAATGTACTTGGAATGGTTTGCCTCTTAAAGCAAAAAAAAGTCAAGCGTGCTGCTTATATACCGCTCCCCATAGCACTTCAAGCACTCTTTGGGCAGTTTACAAGTTAAATATGCGGGCTACACATTGTCCCACCAGCAAGGTAGGTACTCCTTTTACTGACCTCAGAGGGATAGAAGGCTGAGTCAACCTTGAGCCGGCTACCTGGGATTGAACCCTAGGTTATGAGCACAGCTTTGGCTGCAGGACAGCAGTTTAACCACTGCGCCACGAGGCTCTTAAGGTTGTGCACTTCCTTTCACTAGAAGTCTTAAAACACAGGTGAGGTGGCCACTGGTCAGTTTTGGACATCCTGCACTGGCAGGCACCTGGGCTCGGTGGCTCTTGGACTCCCTTCTTTCCAGCTGTAAAATCCTATGCTTCCTCTTAACCCCTGCTATGTATTTTCTGAACATCTGTTTGAAAACCTCATATGTTGCAGTCACATCCCTAGGCAAGAACACTGACACATTTCAGAAGGAAGTGGGGGAGGTATGAGGGAAGAAAAGAGGCTATGGTTTGAACAGTTTTATCCTTCTTTCTCTGATAAGGCCACATGAGCGCAAGGGGTGACTGCTGAGGGTCATGGAGTGCAGTACGGCAGCAGAAGGAAGAGGCCAGGGGCACCCCACACGTTTCACTATCCAACATCCAAAGCCCATCTTCTCAGGTCCCACCAAGACTCCACCAAAGAGTGTTAGGGTCCAGTTCTTAGGCAGAGACAGCTCACAAAGATCCATCCTGTCACAGCAACAGTCCCCCTCTACAGAATGGGAACTGGAGACTCTGGGCACAGCCTTTCACTGTCACTGGCTTGCAGAGCTGCCAATCAAAACAGCAGCAGCAGCAGCAGCAGCAGCAACAACAACAACAACAACACCCTCTCCTCTCCCTGCTGTTTCCCTTTCAGATAGTGTGGAGAGTAATGTGCATCTCTCCAAATCCAGTGACTAACATATCTCCAGAAAGCATTAGTTCAGATTTGTCTGGAGCCAGTTGTTGGATGTCTCACTTTACTTCAGACCCCTTGGTAACATGTCAACATCAGCCCAGTTTCCTGTCGGACTCAGTATTTCTCTGAATCCAGAGCACATCACTCCTACAAAGAACACAGGATGGCCAATGTGATTTAAGAAGTATTAGTAAAGAGTAATGAAACCTGCTGGGATAAGATTCATGAGCGGATTGCTGTAAACTTAGAGTATAACTTTTTCATATTATTCTTAAATCTAACCCAACCTAAACCACATAAACCTAACAACACAATAAAATACAATTACATAATACAACAGTGCCACCATCACCCTCAGGGCTAGCATTAATATTTTAAATTTCCTTCAGTGTGTTTTCTCTCCAAAACTCCGTTTCTTCCTCGGTGTATACCCCTTCCCTCCCCAAAATATATATTTTAAGAATACACTCCATAATTTCTTAAAATCATTATTTTTGATAGACCTCTTCTCATTTTCATATCACATGTCAGTTTATCATTAATTGCAATATCCCATAGTTCTCTATATCATTCCTCTAAAGTGAGTTGGTTATTTTTCCAGTTTCTTGCAAAAATTAATCTTGCTGCTGTGATCATAACTATTAAGTCCTTATTTTTTTTCAACAATTGATCCTTCTCAACCAAATTCAATAAAGCCATTGACAGGGACATTTGAATATTTAATCCAGTTATTTCCCTTATTTCTTTAAAAATTTGCTTCCATTCTTGCTTTCTTAGTTTACATGACCACCACATAAGTATATACGTCCCCTGCTCTTTTTTACACCTCCAGCATAGTGATGATACATTTGTATTCATTATATTCAGTTTTACCGGCGTTAAATACCACCTCCATATTACCTTAAAACAAATTTCTTTTATCCTTACAGACATGTTCTTCATAAATCTTTGATCCCACATTTTATCCCATTCTTCTCCTATTACTTCTTTGTCCAAATCATACTGCCACTGTATTTTTAATCCTTGTGTATCCTGTTTGGCTTGAACTAATACTTTATATGTATGACTTACAGTTCCCTTTCTGTCTGTCTTTTCCTCTGATTTCAGTCTTTTTTCCATAATTTTGTCATTTTTCTACTTTTCCCTTCCTTACTATTTCATTCCCTTGTCCACCTTTCTATTTGAATCATATTAAACCAAGAAATCCCCTCTCCTCCTAAAATCTCTTTTATGTTTCTTTTACCCCTCATCTTCTCCATCCAGTCTTCTATCCTATTCATCCCTTTATTTTTTGATATATTCTTAAGAGTTTTTAAAAAAGATTTTCTGGAAAATTCTTTAAATCTACCACCTGGGATAAAGGAGAGATTGGTGGGCTCAATATACCTCTAAACTTTTTCCAATTTTCTACCATATTTTTAAGGAAAGGGTTAGTAATCTTTTTAATTTCTCAGATTTTTTCTTTATACAATATACTTTTAATTCTTTCTTCCTTATCCTGCATTTCTATTTCTATCCATATTAAATTTTTATTACCTTTAATAATATCTGGAATATGTCTGAGCTGATTTGCTGTATAATGTAATTTTAAATTGGGTAATCCAAGACCTCAATTTTTTTGTGTTACATACCATAATTTCTTATTAATCTTCACTCATTTATTTCCATTGCAAGAACAATTTATCATTATCTGCCACTCTTTCAGTTGTTTTTCTGTAATCTTTATAGGAAACATCCAAAATATAAAATTTAATTTAGAAATAATTTTAATTTTGCATAATGCCACTCTACCAAACCAAGAAATCTTTAATTTCTGAAAATCTTTTATCCTTTCAGTTATCTTTTTTCAGTCTATCCAGATTTATTTTAATTATATCCTGTAAGTTCCAAGTAATATTAATTCCTAAATATTTAATAACATTTCCCATTTTATCTTCAAATATTGCTTTCATTCTTCTTTTCTCCTCATCTGAGTGGTTTAACAATAAACATTCTGACTTTCCCGAATTTACTTTGAATCCTGTTATACCCTCAAATTCCTCCAAATGTGATTTAAGCCTTTCTGTTGTTTCTACTGGATTTTTAACTCTTAGTAATGTGTCATCGGCAAACAAGTTTATCTTACCATTATGTTCTATCCCTACAATCTGTTTATCATCTCTTATTATCTGTGCCAATAATTCTATTATCATTGTAAATAATACTGGAGATAAGGGGCAAACTTGTATTGAACCTCGTCCTGGGTGTATTGTCTCAGTTACACATCATTAACTATTACTCTAGCTGTATTCTGGGAATATAATTGGTGAATTAGCTGCCTAAAATTAGCTGCCTGGTTTTTAAATTTCGCTATTTTTTTTTATTCTCCAGACTTTTTCATCTGCAGGCAGCTGTAGGCAGGAGAGGTCCTAGCATCTGGCAGTGAGTTGAGAATTTAAAAGAGGGCTAGAGAGCTGGAGGGACGTGGCTGGCACTGTGGGTTAAATCGCAGAAGCCTCTGTGCTGCAAGGTCAGAAGACCAGCGACGGAGTGTGCTCCCGTAGCTTGTCCCAGCTCCC